CTGCACCCAATTAGATTTTGAGACCGTTTTGAATGAAGACTCGCTTATATGGCAAGCCGATTTTTCACAGATCCAGTGGCCCTTAGGAGTTAAGACAGCCTGACCCTGGGAATTTCGGTATAATAATTATATCCCAGGTAATTTTTTTTTTACCAAATTTTAACTAAATAATCCGCTTCAACCTTTCATAACTTTATATTGTATAAGTATATCGTTTTTACTTTAATGGGTGGAACTTTATCGGAAGAAAAGCGTATACATACATATATGTATATGTACATTAGACTGCATCACTCCCCATACAAAAACAAAATAGCTACTATTTTTCCATTGGAATTATAAAGTCTATTATATTTTAAGACGTCCACCAAAATATTTCGGAAAAATATTAAGATTTAAGTGAGCTGGGCCGATTTGAAAATACCTCCAAAAATGGAGTTTTTTATGAATAAAAATAGTTTCTTAAAGATTTTTTTGAAAAAATCCCCTCAAATGACAAAACGGCTTAAGCTTAAAAAAATTTGCAGAAAAAAATTTAAAAAAAATTTAAAAAAAATTTTGAACGGAATCGTAATGATGAGATTTTTGATGCTGTTTTTTAACTTTTTTCAAAGATTGGCATAAGAAAAACTTGAATAACTGAACCTAAACTCTTCCGATTTAGACTTAGGAGGTGTCATTTGAAAGGTATTTTCTCTACCTGTTTATTGCTTTGCTAATAAACTCATTCAAAGGATGAAAGAGAAAGATAGGATAAAGGAACGTCATTCAAAGTTGAATTAAGATGTGTTGGTATTTGAAAAAAAAAATATTGGGACACGAATGACTTTTTTTTGGACAGAAATAAAAACAGTGTGTAAATACCTTTCAACTGAGATCCCATAAGGCTAAATCAGAATAGTTTTGGCCTAGTTATTCAAGTTTATCGTAAATCAATCTTTGAAAAAAGTAAAAAAACAGCATCAAAAATCTCATTCTTACGATTCCGTTTAAAAGATTTTTAAATATTTGTATGCAGATTTTTTAAGTTTAATCTGTTTTGTCATCTGAGGGGGCTTTTTTCAAAAAGTTCTTTAAGAAACTATTTTTATTCATAAAAAACTACATTTTTGGAGGTATTTTCAAATCGGTCCAGCTCGCTTAAATCTTAATAGTTTTCCGAAATATTTTGATGGACGTCTTAAAATATAATAAATTTTGTAATCCCGGCGGAAAAACCGCAACTTTTTTTGGTGATGCAGTCTAATGTAGATAACTGAAGCTTTTTTCGTTTGATACCCATACACATACACATGTATGTACATATATTAGGCTGTATCACTGTCCATCAAAAAAAAACAAAAAATGGTACTCCATCGGAATTATAAAATTTTTTATAGACCGCCAAAATATTTCCGAAAAATGTTAAGATTTACCTAAGCTGGATCGATTTGAAAATACCTCCAAAATGGAGTTTCTTATACATAAAATTAGTTTTTAAAAATATTTTTTCTACCGAAAAATCACCTCATATGATAGAAGAGTTTAAATTTAAGCGGTCTGCATAGGAATTTAAAAAATATATATAAAAGGATTCAAAATGAAATTTTTGGAGATGAAAATATCGGACCAATTCATGTAAATCTTAAATATTTTACAGAATTATTTTGACGAAGTCCTAAAATATAATAAATTTTATAATTCCCATGGAAAAACTGGAAATTTTATTACAGTATCGTTAGCTGTTTCACCACAAAAATAACGAAACTGATTTTAATTGTTGAAACAAGTAGCAACCCTCTTCAAATAATATCCTATATGTTAATCTAATTTCTAAGCTGTACGTCAAAATTTATTCGAGCTCCTTTTATAGCCTTTACATTAGGATTTCCCTTAAAGTATCAATATCATGGACGTTTTTTTGTACTTTTTAGATTGCAAGTCTAAACTTCGTCGAATTAAAAAAAAATGTTATAAGATTTTTTTTCAAACTCTGCGTTCCCTAAAAATTTGTTTAAAATTTTCAAATTTGCGCGTACGTTTTCTTTACGTAGAACAAAATAAAAGGGGTGCCAAATAAAAAATTTATATTTTGATATTTAAGGACTACTTTTCTATACACTGATTTGGCCGCATAGACTTTATTGTTTTTTTCTGCCAAAGATAGCAAATGTCTAGAAGCTCCAAATACTTTTTTGATTATGCAGCTTATATGTATGTACATATGTATGTATGTACGACACAGTAGTATAAAAATGCAATTTTATTTTACGTTTCTTTTTATTCATTTTTATTTTATTTGTTTTTTTTTTGTTATTTATGGCCACATAATAATTTATTCAACAATTTGATTGAGCTTGAGGCCGTTTTTAACGAAAAATGTTTGGGAAAAAAATAATAATAACTTACATTTTGGTGGAAGCTACACCTGATATTTTGGAGATCAACACATCTCCTCGTCAGACTTATTTAACCGCCGTGACTGGGATATAAACTAGCGACCTCGGATTACAAAGCCAATGGTCTACTTACTGAGCTTAGTACCAGCCACATAAACTTTCCACTTTTTCATATGTAAACCCAACTACAAACATTTATAACGGCCTTAAGCTCAATCAAATTGTTGAATGAATTTTTATTTTAATTAACGTTTTTTTATAAATTTTTTTATATAATTTTTTTTTTTGTTTTGAACCACTCCCCTTGAAATTTTTCCCACCCTATGCTGATGCATGCAACCACAAAACTTACTAAAAAATTAACACACGTACCATAACACCAAAAGAAATAGTCAAAATATTTTTTACAATTATTTTGTCATTCTCCTCTGATTACTTTCAAGCTTCATGGTAAATTTTTTAAGTGGGAAATTTTTCCCAATACGCACACGGGCCATCAGGGAAAAATATTGTGTATACACAAAAGCATAAGCTCAGCCAAAAAGCTTTCTGATTTCCGCTTTTCCGAACCAAACAAAACTTTTGCTAGTGAGCGCTTTTTCTGCGCACTAATGTATGCTACGAAAAAATGCTGTTGAAAGCGACAATTTCGTTCGCGAGTGTATATGTATGCGTCTGTGTGCATGCATAGGTATGTGCATTTGCAACACCACCCCAGTGGGAAAATGGGGGAATGCATTCTTACCTCATGCTACCACGAAAAGGTTGTACGAATAAGATTATTCGAAAAAGTGTAGCCGAAGATTTCACGCCGTATTATTGAGATAAACGAATTGTTGCATTCGTAAGCGATCGAAGGCATGGATGTGTAGTTTTAAAGCCATAATCAGACAAAAAAAAGTAAGAACAAATCTAAGTACATATGTATTTTTTCTACGTTATCTCTACTGCTGCTTTACCCGAATGTTTTTCTATTTATACATTCTATGTATAGCTATATAAAGCGACATGGCATTTCTGGGGCAAAAAATGCATCTTGGAGCATATACATGACTCCTAAGGCCGATGCATTTTTGACTACACATGACCATTTCCGACTGGGGGCATTGCTTGCTTGCTGTTACTGTTATAAATTGCATGACATAACTATTATATGGCGCTCGTATGCCGACCAGGGTTGCCGTTTTGGGCTTTTCCTACCAAAATTGGTAGGTTTTTACTCATTGGTAGGAGTTTGCTCATAAAACAGAAAACAACGCTAGCTTCTTGTAATGTGTCACTTTGTCAGCACTATGAGTAGGCTTGCCAAATTTTGATAATATCAATTTTACCCTCATTCATTTAAAAACCTCGTTGCTTACTGGTATAGACAGAATTCTACCAATTACCTTCGGCACTTCTCTGAACTCTGTATTCGTATAAAAAGTCTTATCCACTGCGTATCAAAATATCAAGTGATTGAATTGATGGATGTTAAGGCAAGATTGAAGTTGCGAATCGATAATAGTTTCAACAATGACGAGGTTGTTAAAAGATTTTAAATGACACTAGAACAGTGATTCAAAAAAGAAAACCACTTATTGTTAGTCATATTTTCAGGAAATCGAAGAACCTCAAAGTTTTTAACCGCATCTCGTAGAAATTAATGTCAAACTCGCACCGCGCTAATTCAGTCCCAAGCCCGGAGGCTCCCCCCGGACCGTGAGGTTTATTTTTACCTTACTAATGTATATATCGTTACCTAAAGGTGAAAAGGTGCCAAGTCCATTTTTATGAAACTGTTCGCAATTTACTCGAAATTTTGAGGGTTTAGAGGTCAAATGGACCTCAGATTCAGATGTATTTAATGCTGCCAACCGCTGTTTTCTTGATTAAAAGAAATGGGAGGAAATAAGCCATTGTGGTAGGTTTTTGAACCCGCTCTTGGTAGGAAAGAAAGCTTTTCGTTGGCAACCCTGATGCCGACCGATCCCAACACTGTTATACAGCGCACGCACCCAGGAAATATACAAATAACATTCGTTGGTATAGAATGGTAAGGGGGAGGGGGCGGAAAATCATGTCTGTGGTGTCCATGACGATGGCGCGGCAGTTGCGGCAACGGCAGCGGCAGCGGCAACGACGATGGTGACGCTTGTAGTGGTGGTGGTGGTGGCATATGTATCTATGTATGTAGCCGTTGCTGCTGTATTGATACTGGAGCTTCGGCGCATGCCGCCGCAGTGTGGTGACTTTGGCTTTTTTGGGCTTTGTTTTTTTTCGGCTTTTTATTAACAAGAAATGCATACAATACACACCCGCACGCGGTGGCACAAACGCACGTACTTGCACAAACTTAAACACATGCATGCCTGCTGCATAGGTTGGGTAGATACTAAAGTAGATTTGTATGCTGAAATATTGGGTATTCTTCGCGCAGAAGAGTCTCACGTCATTCTTTCATATTTCTACGGCTGACATACATACGTACATATACCATGTACATGCATACATAAGTACTAGTAGATGCCTTAATGTGTATGTACAAACAAACAAATAAACATATCAACGACCAATAACGACAAACGACAGCAACAACGGCTGTGGCCGCGGCAACGACAACGACAACGGCAACGGCAACGACAACAGCAAAACGATTCGCTTGAGTACAATATTTCGACTGTGTAGTGATTCAGTCAGTACGCTGTGTGGCTGTGCGAAAAAAACTATCAAAACATTCCGCCTGCGTTGGTGTGCCACTCGCCTCGAAGAAAAAAAGGTCCTGTAAAACAAAAATATTCACACAAAAGAAAAGGGGTGCAGTGCTTACAAAAAAAAAAAAAATTATAAAAAAAATATTTATAATAAATTTATTATTTTTAATAAATTAAAGTGCAATAAAAGTGTTTTATCGTTGCTGCTCTGTTTCCAAAGCTGTTTCGTGTGGCATTGTAAACGCGTTAATTTGAAATTGTTCGCCAGCTGCTTGTGATTATCTGTCTATCTATCTGGATATCTGCATTAATCAGCAGATTCCGCAGTTTGTCAATTGGTACAAATTATCGAAATTTTCTCTTTCACTTCGGGGAAGCCAGCCAGCCAGTCGGTCAGCCAGCCAGCCATGACATCAGTGCGCAACAATGCAGTCTCCGCCGCTCTGCTGCTGGGATGGGTTATTTTTGGGTGCCTAAATAGTTCTGGTATGTGAATGTGTACTGAAGAAAATATTAAATTTCGCAATGAATAGGAGGGGAAACAATTTGTTTTTTATTTTATTACATTTTAGTTTGTTCGAAATCAATCTTGAAAACATTACTCATTTAAGTAGGTATGTAGTTGTTGGTTTAAAGTTGTCCTTCAACGAATGAAAAGCGTGTTAAGCACATTTTCTCAGTTTGCAGATTGTGTGTGTGAAATTTGTATTTGATTTCAAAATTTTGAGTCAGGATATAGTGAAGATACATTCATATAAAGCTTAAGGAAATTTAATGGGAAAGTATTGAGCGCATTTTCAATTACATAGATATAGTCAAAGTTGTTTCGTATAAAAAATTTCAAAAAAATTTCAATTGACGATCAATTAAAAAATAATAATTGCTTCCATTTAATCAAATAAAAAATACAAATAAAATGAAAAGACAAAGTAAAAAAAGTAGTGGTCAAATTCAAGAAAATAAAAAATTCAAAACAAAAGTAAATTTTAAAAACTATAGGGATATTCAGCAAATTGCGCAATTCACCTGGTACTCGTGCAAAAAAAATTGATTAGCTCAAAGCAACGAAGTCTTCAAAGTTATTGCTTGAGCTAATAAGCCCTTTTGCCCAAGTGTCAGGTCACCTGCTCAATTTAGTGAATACTCCTTCCATAAATCCAAGTTTCAATATTACAAAATTTTGAAAAATTCATTAAATATAAAAAATTCACATACTCGCAATTTTTTTGCAAATTTCGAGTATTCAGTCAGAAAAAAAAATCACAAACCCTCGAGAAATTTAGGCCAAAAATTTCGCTTAAAAATATTTGTTTTTTTATTAAGTCTGATAGGAAACAGCAATTTTTTAAAAAGTATACATTTGTTTATTTCAAAGCCAGTTTTTGCCACGACATTTATTTTTTCATAAGTATATAAACTGTAAATTTTAACTTATTTTGTTTTATTTATTTTAAATTTATACTTTTAGATTTTCGTTTTACGTATTTATTCTTAATTTTAAATTTTTGCTTTTATTCTTAATTATTTTAGTAATAGTAATAATGATTTTTGGTATAAAATTTTTTCCTTTTAAGTTTGTAGCTTTGAATTTTTGTTCTCTTTTTAGTTGTTTTTAGTTCAAAATTTTTTGTTTTGTTTGTAAATTTTTAGTTTTTGAATATTTGTTTAAAGATTTGATTTTTATTTTTTTTTTGTATTTAAAAATTTTTGTTTGTTTTAAATTGTTGTTTAATTTTAAATTTTTGTTTAATTTTAAATTTTTGTTTGTTTTAAATTGTTTAATTTTAAATTTTTGTTTAATTTTAATTTTTTTTTTTTTTTTAATTTTTCTATTAATTAAAAAAAAATGTTCCTTTGAATCTCTGCTTTTATGTAGAAGAGTTTAAGTAAGCTCCATTTTATTCGCCATTATTTAAGGCCAATCAAGGTTGAATTTGTATACATATGTATGTATGTATATATGCATGTGTTATGTACATAAATATGTTTGCTTAAAGAGCTTAAATTGAAGGTGTAACATCTGACTTAAATATTTTAAACACCGAAAACCGAAAAATTTAAATGCCAAAGTGTGTACATAATTTAAAGTTCGCATATTGCACTTAAGTTCTCAGAATTTTCATCTCGCTGCACAAATATTGCAATGTTGCAAGTTTTGCAAGTTCATATATTCCAAAACACGAGCATGGGTGGGTATGTATGTACGAGTATATACTACCATGCATTTTGTATGCCTGAACTTGTATGTAAATATGTACATATGTACATATGTATGTATGTATTTATTTATTTTTTATTTTTTCTTTTTTTCGTGCTTTTGTGACAACACAGCAAAACTATGTTATGGCATTTCTTCGTGTTTTAAATACCTATACATATTTACATACATAATACCTGCAAACCATACCTATATACAACAGCAGCAACGACGGCGGTGGCAGCAGCCATTGCAGCTTTTTGTTGAAAGCTCGCATGCTGCGAAACAATTTTGTGTTTTGTGATAAGAATTCAATACACTAGCCGTGTTTTATTTGTCCAGAAATTTAAGCTATTAGCTTATTTTGTATGGAGGACTTACCCAACATAATTATATTGGCTCATGAAAAGCTAAATTGGCTTGTATATTTAACAAGAGGCATTGCCATTCAGCATCAGAAATTTTCTCCTTCAGCCATTCAGAAAGAGGCAAAAACTTACTTTGACACTAGTTGCGATCCCGTACGAGTCCGGACTAGTCAGAAATAGTCAGAATCAGTCAGATTTTATTGGAAATCGATCCCGTACTCGGTTCTCTGACTATTGAGAGGACAAAAAAGTGGTAAATTCTGGTAAATGTGTCAAACGATTAGCTGTAGTGTGTTTGGCAACCAAATTGTAAACAAAAGAAAAGTGCACTCTGCTAATTCATGAATTTGAAAGTATTTTGGGTTATGTACATGTGTGAGCTGAGTGTGTTTACATACAAAATAAGCAAAAATTTACAACCAAAATTTTGAGGTTATGTTGAAGTTGACAGAAGTTACGATTTTTTACTAGAAAGCGATCCCGCACTTTTCAATGTTACTCTCTCGCTCTGAGCGAATTTTTATTTTTTGACAGTTTTACTAGTCCGAGTCCGAGGAATACGGGATTGCACCTACTATTTGCAGTCAAACAACTGTCAAAATTAGGCTAACATAAGATTTAGCATATAGATTTAGCTATTTGCTTGTGATGGTTGAATAAAACATGCCTACTATTAAAGAGCGCGAATACTCAAACCAACTATAGGTGCCACATACATACATAGGTATGTATGTACATTCACTCAAAAAATCAGCATACTTGCATATTTATGCAGAAATAGCTGAACATTTGAAAAAAAAAGCCAAACAAAAAATTTACAAAAATGGAATTTTTTACCAAGTAATAGAAATACGTCAGTGGCAAAAACAGTCAAACTGAGGGGCGGAAATGCGCCAACAAATTAACATATGTACATACGTATGTATGTACATGCGTATATTTATTTGAAAAAATACATACAACATTTTAAACTTGTCAGAATATCGGCTTTTATACAATTTTTTACACACGTGAATGAGTTCTAATAGAGACACTCATATATACTATACACATGTGCATACAGCAGTTGACAAATAAATGAAATCAGTTGGTCGATTGATGGTTTTATCTCATATCCACTAGTATTTGCACAAACCGATTGTCCTCTATAATAACGACACAACTCAAATTATAACAATTTTCAGTAGAGCCAATTAAAGCTTTCAAATTATGACTGCTTTATAAAGATTTAGACATGTACCACTGCTCAGCAGTAAGTGTTTGTCAATATCTCTTCTGACAAATTATGCGTCGAAGTTCCACAGAAAAATATGGTTATTTACCTACCAACCTAATCCGCTATATAATTCAAATACATGAAATTATGAGTTAGGGCGTTCTTAAAATGGTGGCGATAGTACACAAGAAAAATATTAAATGTATTTTGTTTTTGCTTTGGGTACACAAATGTCAAATTTCATGTATCTCAAGGAAGAACTCGTAACTTTCTCACTCTCTCAATTGTAACACCACCTTCTATGAATTCGTCTTGTCAAAACCTTTATAAATGTTTCACACTGGCAATTTATTTTCAAAAATTTGTATACTTAACCCGCTCGACAAGTAGCGATGATATGAGGGTAGTACAGATTTTTTGGAGCTGTGTCAGAGAGATTTGCACTAAATTTATAGAAGCAAGATTTTTGGACGACTGAGAAACGAAGGCGGCTATAGAAAACAATTTTGAAATGAAATCTTAAAAAAATGTTTTTTCAGTGATTTGTTATTTATTTAACCGCCTAAGCGATTTTTGGCCGAGTTCAAAAAAGCATGCCAGTCGTCGTTTCTCTTCAGAGCCAACTGACACCAATTGAAAATGTCAAATGATTTAACGGCACTATATTCACAAAAGTAAAAATCGAGAAATCGTTGTCAAACCAAGAAATATAAAATTAAAAAATTAAGTTGAAAATAATCATATTTGACACAATACCGCCCACTTTACTTGCGTGCATAAAATTTTTGACTGTTTTTGTGATAATTTTTCAACGGTTTTCAAAAAGTTACTACAAATTTGATTTCAAATTGCACTTGCACAGCTAAAATTATGCATAATTTTTTTATTTGGTTTTATGCAATAAGAAATATGAATAAAAAAGTTAGCGGTACATCCCTGAATATAAAGCCTATTTGCAAAGTAAAAAGGTGTACCCTAGGTTCGGGCAAAACAAAAACGTCTAAATCGCGTTGCAAAATACTTTCGACCCCCGGGCGCAGGGCGAACCTTTTTTTGTTTGATTATAAGGTGGTACGGTCTAATGTACATATGTTTTTTTTTTTTAACGGACGCTGGGATAGGGAAACCATCTATTAAGTGGCACGTACGAATTTCTCCCAAAGCCGTATTGTTTTAACCGGAAGTTCATTCCAGATAAAAATTTTCCACAAACGTTGTGTATTTTTGTCCCGTTAGTTTAATCCACTTGCGGTCGAAACCAGAAGTCGGTAATACCACCATCAGGTGGAGCATCCCTGATTTGGTAGGTCATGTTTTTGCATTTTTTTTTTCAATAAATAAAAATAATTACCTCCGGGTGTTCTAGGACACCCTGTATACATATTTTCGTTGTTGGTGTTTCCGACAGGGTAGGAGTAGGATTAATGTGACCAACTATTTCATGCCCCTTAACCAAAAGTTCCACATCATCTACATAGGCAATCGATATCGAAGAAGGCCCCTACTGCATAATCTTTATGCGTGAAGGGTTCCTCTGACCACTTTATCAATGTATGGAGGGCGATATTTGCTGACCTTTTCTTGCAATAATTTCTTGTTCTGATTGGCCTAAAATACCTGGGGTAAACCTGTGTGCCTTTTCCGGCCTTTGGGATGAACGCAACACTGACTACCCTCCAAAACTTGGGGCTATACCCGGTCCTCA